CATTTGAACTTTGAAAGGTAAAACGTGCACAGGATAAAAACCAAACTAGTACAAAAGGGTTTGCAATACAAAAGAAGCATCTCTCCCTTCTATGGCGCCCAGCGGTCCAGCGCCCCTCCCCACATGCAGCCATAGCTCTGTTTCTGCTGCATCCTTCCTGGAATGTTCCAAACATGATGAAGCCCCTGTGATTGTGTGTGCTTCTTCCCTCACCCTCCTCTTCACTTGCCAGTATGGTTCCCCGTCTCTACCCTTCTGCCTTTTTCTCTTTCTTGCTCTTCTCTTACCTCGGTGACAGTTCCATGTTAGCACCAAAGAGGTGATCTCATTCTTTTGAATAATCAGAGAGCGGTCTGTTTTGTCCTCAGGGGTCATTAGGTTTTGACAACTACGGAGACCAGAGATCTTGAGAAAAAGGAAAAAGATCAGAATGTGCAAGCCCGGTTCGGTTGGCTTTGTTAACCTGGAACTGATATCACTTTAAATTATTGCTTAGAATTTGCAGTGTAGGAAATACATTGGAAAATTCTTCCAGGAGGAAAAGAATTAAGAGCACAAATGATAGATTTGACTCTCCAAACTGAATTCCGTCGTCCTTTTCCCCTTTAGACGCGTCGTGGCAGCACACAGTGTCAGGCCACGGGACCGGCAGTGGATGAGATGTGTTGCCGAGTTGAGGGTTGGGGGAGGCGGTCGTAGCAGGATGTCCTCTGGTGAGCCAGCCTTCCCCCGCAGAATCAGGAATGCCCCCAGGAGAGTCCTGGAGGTCCTGGGAGCTGGGAAGGCGATTTTGCAAATAAACACAAAGGAAACAGAGCAGGGAAGGAATACTTGTGTTCTTTGGCTTAACTTTTTAAGATATCTCTGTACTTTTTCCTCTTTCATAAAAGTCATTTAAGCTTGTAAAAGAAAGGAAGAGGGGTGCCTGGTTGGCTCAGTCAGAGGAGTATGCGACTCTTGATCTTGGAGTTGTGAGTTCAAGCCCGACCATTGGATGTAGAGATTACTTAAATAATTTTTTTTTAAGAAAAGGAAGAGAGGGGGCACCTGGGGTGGCTCGGCCAATTAAGCGTCCAACTTTGGCTCAGGTCACCATCTCTCACTTCATGAGTTCGAACCCTGCGTCAGGCTCTGTGCTGACAGCTTGGAGCCTGGAGCCTGCTTCGGATCCTGTGTCTCCTTCTCTTTCTGCCCCTCCCCGACTCACGCTCTGTCTCTTTCTCTCAAAAATAAATGAACAGAAAAAAAAAAAAAGGAAGAGAGGAAGGTTGGCAGGAAGGAGATAGGCAGGTGGGTTAGTGGGTTGGTTGGGAGGAAGGAAGGTTGGTTCTGTGTGATTCACACTGAACAGCTACTTCTGAGTGCTTGCAACATGGCAAGCCTTGTTCCCCACACAGAACAGGATGCAGATGGCTGCAGGTGAGGTGGGAGTGGGACCACAAGCACACAAGTGCCCACGACAAACTGCCAGGAGGTGAACAAGTGAAGCAGCACTCAGGATTGTGCGATCGAGCACATCTGGGCTGGGAGGGAGCGCCAGAGGGCTGAGTGGTCAGGGAGGCCTCTCTGAGGAGGCAACATTTGAGAAAAGCTGGATGGGTGAAAAGCTGCCATTCATGGGAAATGCCATTGAGGACACTCTAGGCAGACACAACAGCCAGTGCAAAGGCCCTGGGGCAGGAATGTGCCTGGCATGTTTAAGGAGCATTGGGAGGCCTGTGTGGGAGGAGATGAGGGCAGAGGCAGAGGAGGGCTTATCGTCAAGGATCTCATGGCTGTGGTGAGGCACATTCTTAGAAAGTGAATCCCCCAATGGTACCCATCTTTTGGAGTTGAGAGTTTAGTAAATTTTAATGTATCAAACTAAGCTGTGTGTAAACTTAGTTACTGCTAAAAATGATTTCACACTATACATACCACTTCTTTATTTCTGTGCTGTATCTGAGAGAACCTCTTCCGGTGCCATGTGGATCAGGTCTGCCTCTCTTACTCTGTGGGGCCATCGTCCTTCTCTGGGAGGCTTCACCCTTCCCCTTCCTGAAGGACATCCTCCCTGGGGCGCCTGGGTGGCGCAGTCGGTTGGGCGTCCGACTTAAGCCAGGTCACAATCTCGCTGTCCGTGAGTTCGAGCCCCGCGTCGGGCTCTGGGCTGATGGCTCGGAGCCTGGAGCCTGTTTCCGATTCTGTGTCTCCCTCTCTCTCTGCCCCTCCCCCGTTCATGCTCTCTCTCTGTCCCAAAAGTAAATAAACGTTGAAAAAAAAAAATTAAAAAAAAAAAAAAAAATGAAGGACATCCTCCCAGAAGTAGAGCCCCTAGGGCCGAGAGTATGCATGTTTGAAAGTGTTCTGCGGGGGGGTTTTGCATCTGTCCCGGAGGACGGCCTTGTAAACGGTGCCCCTTTTTGCCATAGACAAGCTGAGGTCCCAGCCAGCTCCCTCTCCAGGAGAGATGGGCACAGCACATGACATGCCCTGCCCTGAGTCCCACACATCACCCCCTTCCTTGCAGGGGATTCTGGAAAATGGCGAAACCCCCTTGGCATGGGGAGGGGTAAGCCCCCTTCCAGCTCCCATGGGAGGAACTCATTGAGGGCGTATGCGCTTTCTGTGTCTCTTTTTTGGATCTAAAGCTTTTCATTTGCCCAGAGAGCACACTTCAGAGAACACCGTAATGGAGCCAGCATTACCCTAGACCTGGAATTCTAATTTGGGGAGGAATATGACCTGAGAAGAAAAAAAACTCGCCACCCTATCTTCCTTCTTTTGTTAAAATCCCAAGGTGGCAGCTGAGAAAATGAGAAAGGAAATACAGACTTCAAAACCCTCAGGAGCCCTAGACATCTTATTTCTTCCTGGGTTCAAAGACTTTTTCTTTCCTGAGTTACAAAATGATAAAGTCCAGGTGTCACTTTTTTTTCAAATAGTTGTTAAAACGATTATTATTGCGATAGCCTGCAATTAATAAACAGAGACAGTTCAGAAGGGTATCAGATAAAGAGGGAAAGTCCCTTCTTCCCACCTCCTAAAAAGACGCCTACTTCCCAGAGGTAATTTACCATTGTTCATGATTTCTCCCAGAACTTTTTTTCTGCATTTAAAAGATTATTACTAAACCAGACGCGATTATGTTCCACACACCGTTCATCCTTTACATGCCATGTCTGTGCTACAAACATGGCGGTCAAGTACAGTGGTAACATCTGTAGGCCCTGCAGCCTAGTGGCCTCGGCGAGAATCCTGACTCCTCCACTCACAGGGGCTGTGTGACTTTGGACGCCTGTTGTGTAGTTACTGTAGTCTCTTTGTACCTCAGTCTCCCATCTGTAAAATGGGAATAACAGTAATAGTGGCTCCCGGGGAGGCTGCTGTGCAGATTCAACGAGTTCTCGTGCATGGAGTCCTCAGGATGGTGGACAGGGCCCGGTACACAGTGAGGGGCTGTTAGCTGTCATTATTTCCCTCCTGGTGACAGCTCTGGTCAGGGACCCAGTTTTCACCAGGAAAGTCAGACCTGAGCCCAAAGGCTGGGCCAGAGTCTGAGAGCTAGAGGAGGCCTCAGGGGAAGTCCCAGGAGTGGAGGACGGGGAGCCCCAGGGGAGCCAGAGGATGACGGCCTGTGGGGCCAGCAGAGGGGTCAGGGGAGCAGTGGAGGAGCGTGCGCAGCTCGGGGCCAGCCTCCGGTAAGCAGTTGGGAATGCTTCCCAAGCATTGGCTCTGTCGGGTGCCAGCCGGCACTTTCTAGCAATCCCCACAGTGCTGGGAGGTCAGCACGTTCTCCAGAGGATCGGAGAGGTGGTGCGATGTACCTGCAGCCTCTCAGCAAGAACGACTCAGACCCAGGCCTGTCCGCCTCTGGGGGCTCCTGCTTTTATTTTAGCCCCAGGCTGTGCCTCAGGGGCTTTTAGATGGCAGTGTTCTGGAAGGCAGCATGGGGTCAGCTTTGGGTGCTGAAGAAGAAGATGGTGATTTGAGTGACCCGGGCTCACAGACCAACTTCTGGAACTGGAGGCGCAGTAGAAAAATGGGGATGGTGGCCATCAGGGGGCCCCAGGGCCCTGCCCCGGGTTCAGGTGCCTGATCTCTGGATCTTCTCTCTTAGCCCATACGATGGGTGAGGAAAACCAAAGTTAGGGACATCTGACGATGGACCCTGGGGGCCCCAGCCAGAGGTCTGCTCTCCGTGGCCCAGCACTCACCCCATGGGGACCTGGCTCCCAGGAGATTATCCCTCTGTGAGACGCCATGGGACCCCATCTCTCTTCTGCATTTGGAAGCCCTGGTCTGGGCCACCCTCATCTCTCACCCCAACAGCTTGCAGGAACTTTCTCACCGTCTCCCTCCTCCCACTCTTGGCCCCACTTCCGTGAGGGTCACTTTTCCATCCAGCCACCAGAGTGATACTTCTAAAACACAAATCAGGATCTCACACTCACCAGTTCAGAATCTCAGAGGCTCCCCAGATGTAGTCCCAGGTCTCCTCTGTGGCTCATTCCTGCAGTTCCTGCAGGATCTGGCCCGTCGCCTCCCAGACCTCCCTCACACCACCCATCCCCTCCCTGTCCCCTCACTCAGGCCTCCCCGCCTGTGGGCCCCTCCACTCCTCACTTACCAAGCTTGAACCCCTCGGAGCCCAGCACCTGCTGTTTCCTCTTCCTGGAGTGCTCTTCCACCCTGTGGGCTCCCTCCTGCTTCCCCCAGACTTCTGTCCATATATTCATTGTCAGTCTCCCGGACTGGAGGTCAGCACCATGTTCACTGCTATGTGAACAAGGCATGGCCCAGAGCGGGTTCCCAGAAGATAGAAACACTTGCGGGATGAGTGAATGGTGAGAATAAACGCTGCCCCCCCACCCCAGCTCACCTTCACCAGGTGACACGGAGAAGGCTGTGGCCCCTCACCCGGTGGCGGTGGCAGCCAGCCTTGGGTCAGCACCGCTTTGAGAAGCAGCTTGAACCCCCACCCCCCCAAGACCCCTCTGACCCCGATCCTGTCATTCTAGGCAGGTGGACACCAACACGAAAAACGTCTTCGGGCAGCCGCGGTTGAGGGCGTCCCTCCGAGACCTCCGCTCCCCACGAAAGAACTACAAATCCACCATCGAGGACGACCTGAAGAAACTCATCATCATGGACAACCTGGCGCCGGAGCAGGAGAGAGACGCGGGAGTATGTAGAGGCCGCCCCCCCCACACACACACACACAGTCTGGCGGGCCAGGCGGTCATGGGAGGGTGAGGGAGGAAGACAGGGCTCCCTGCAGTCACTCTGGCCCTCCCTGCCCATGGCCTCCACCTGGGGCACTGCCAGTCCCGTCTGGGTGTATGTAGCTTCATAGTCAGGTGTCGGGTCGTCACATTAGTCAGGGACCTAATCGCAATGTAAGCCAGCCTCGGTAGGCACGTGGGGCATTTCTTCCACACTAGGGTAGCTCATGTGACTGAGAAGGGATGCTCTTAACTGGCTCTCATGTCCTTCTCATGGAGCCCAGGCCGGAAGCAGCCTCCACCCACCCACCCTGCGCGGTCCAAGAGTGGAGGCGGGGTTCCCAGGAAAGTCAGGCTCCCTTAGCCACTGCTTCCCTTCACTCTTGTCCCCGCCTACTCCTGGTTGGCTGTGCTCTCCTGTGGGCCCAAGCTGGCCCCAGTCTCTCCGGGGTGCTGTCCCCAGCGGTCCCCACCGATGACTGGCATTGCCTTCCCTGACCTTACCTGGAATGGGAGAGTGGCATTGGCCTCTTGAGGGCCACAGCCAAGTGGGGCGTGACTGGGGGAGGAGCTATCCCCAGGGGAAACTTGGGATTCTTTGAGCAGAAAGGGGCAAAAGCAGATGCTGGGTGGGTCAGAAACACAGCCATCCAAGACGGGAAGGTGCCCGAGGACAGTGACCGTGAGCCAGGCCACGACCGCGGCCCATGACCCACCCTGTCTTGACAGCAGTCCCCACAGAAGAGCCTGCAGCGGACGCTGTCAGATGAGAGTCTGTGCAGCGGGCGGCGGGAACCCAGCTTCGCCAACGCTGCCAGCCTGGAGCCGGGCCTGCCCAGCGATGTGCTCTTCAGCAGCACCTGCGCCTTCCCCTCCAGCACGCTGCCCGCCCGCCGCCAGCACCAGCACCCCCACCCCCCTGGCGGCGGCAGCCCCAGCACCGTCCCTGCGACCGGCAATGGCTTCCCAGAGAAGAAATGTGAGCCCGGGCCCCTGGGGCTGGCGGGGGAGTCTCCCTGGCGATGGGAAGCGGCGGGGGTGGGGGGGACAGTCAGCACTGGAGATCCTCAGTGTTGGTGTCAGCCATGGTAGGGAGGCGGGGTGCATAGGAGTTTCAGTCGGGTACTGATGGTGGGGCACAGGGTGTCCCACAGAACAGGGGATTGTCGGCCAGGCACCTGGGGGGTCACCTAGAAGTCTGGAGTGCCCCAAAATTGGAGTCATCTGAGGACAGAGAGAGGGTGTCAGCACCCCCTGCTGCAGCCTGGAGGGCCGTGAGGATCAGGCCTTACAGTTGCTGCGCCCCCAGATCCTGTCCCAGCACCAAGCAGATGGCTTCGCGAGTGTTTATTTACTTACCTGATTCCCCCCAAGTCTGCCAGCTCTTGGAGGGAGGGGGTGTAGGGATATGACTCATCCATCCTTTGACTCATCCAGCGACTGCTTACTGAGCATCCCCCACGAGGGGGGCCCCCATCAGAACCGGTGCACCATTTCGGGCTGGCCCTGCCTTTGGTCCACCCTGCAATCCCTCATTCACAACCCCAAACACTCTACAACTGAGAGGTCATGCAGAAGTTTGGGCCAAGCTCACTGAGCAGCAAAACCCAACCCAGACGGACATGAGGCTATGTATTTATTGTTCTTCTTTACCCCATCTGGTGTGAGTGACCGTGAACTTCACTGCAGAACACTGTTGTGTTGGATACGGGGTGCTGCCCAGCCCTTCTGGGTGTGGTATGTTATAGCACCTGCACAGCTTTCTCCGATTCAAACAGATCTTGACTTCGGAGATGTGTCCCCAGGGATTTTGGCTGAGGGCTGTGTCCTGTATTATTGGGATGGAGCCTCCCAAAGCCTCCTCTCACTCAGTCCCCATCTCAGCTCGAGGCGAATCTACCCCTCACTGCATTAAAGTGAGACTCAGATTAATACGTGGAAAACCCTTAGCACAATCCCTGATATGCAGGAAAAGCAGTAGCTATTTATTATTTTGTTAGCATTCTACCGTCTGGAGCAAGCACTTTAATCCATCGCGAGTCAGGCTTGTACCTCCGGACTGCAGAGCAGGGCTAGAACGGAGTATTAACAGGGACCTTCTAAACCCCAAACCCTCATGAGGTTGGGCTTAGAGCAGGGTCAGTGTCAGGCCACGCAGTCCAAAGGCAAGTGCCACTACCAGACAGTGTGAATGCGGGCGAGACGTCTCGCTCTGAGCACAACGCAGGGTCGTAACAGCACCTCCCTCCTGGCCAGTTGGAGGTGAGGCTGGGAGATGATCCCCATGACACAACCCGGCATGGTGCTCAGCAGGAGGACATGTGGTCAGTCAGGCCTGGCCTTTCCTGCCTGAGTCACCTCCTGACCTCTCAGTGCCTCACGGCAGTCCTCTGTCCCCTCCCCTTTGGCAGCTGTGAGGCATCAGCAGGCCGAGGCCCGGGGCCTACAGCTGGCACGTGGGACTCAGCCGATGGCTGCGGCAAATGCGGCCGCTGGTGCTGTCACTCCCAGGGGCCTCTTTCTCTGCCTGGCCTGTCACACGAGGACCCAGCAGCTCTCCCCACGGTGACCCTGCCATAACCAGACACTGTCCACGCACTAACGACCTGGATTTATGTCTGCGGGCTGGCACTGCGTCCTCCGCTCCACACCTCCAGAAGCAGACTTCTGGCCTGTCCCCTGCCGTCCCATCTCAGGGCCAGCTTCCGAATCCTGAAGCTCCCCCTGCACCCTGGCTCACGCTCACATCCCCTCTTCAGGAAGTACTTTTGCAAGTACAAAATAGATCCAGGGGCTGCCGCTTGTTCCCCTGCCCCCACAGCCTCACCTGGTCCTGCCCGCTCTCCTCTCCCTCCTGGACCACGGCAGCCTCCTCACTGTCTCCCCGCTCCCCGCCCCCACACGGCCCGTCTTCTACACACAGCCAGAGAGAGCCCGTGAACACCTCTGTCGGGTCACGTCCCTCCCTGCGCAGAGCCACCTGAGTGGCTCCGTGTCACTCAGAGCAAAAGACAAAGTCCTGACCCACGAGGCCCCACAGTCCAGCCCACCACCTCTGATTTCGCCTCCTGCTACTCTGTTCCTCTCTCTCTGTCCCCACCCTCGTAAACACCTGATACTCCCACCCCTTTGCCTGCTGGCATGTGTCATCTTCTAATAATTGTATTCATCGTTTGTGCTGTAACAATTCTGTAACGTTACACACTACAGAAAGTTTGTTTCCTTCACGTTGTCATTCTCCCCCATCTCCCGTCTCCACTCTTCCTACCCAGCCACCATCTCAGCCTCGGAGCTCTCGCTGGCCGATGGGCGGGACCGGCCACTGCGGCGCCTTGACCCCGGGATGATGCCCCTGCCTGACACGGCCTCTGGCCTTGAGTGGTCCAGCCTGGTAAATGCAGCCAAGGCATACGAAGGTAGGCGCCTTCTGCCCAACCTGTCCCGGTCCCTACCGACCCCCTGCTGTGTTCTAGAAGGATCAGTGGAGGGCCTTGGGGCTTTGAAGTGGGACACGCTCAGGATCCAGAATTAGGGGGAGCAGGGTTCTCATCCTGCCCTGTCACTTATTCACTGTGCAGTCCCGGGCAAGTGTCTTTGTCTCTCTGATCCAGTTACCTCATCTACGAAGCAGGAATGTGACCTGTGCCCACTGCCCAGGGCTACGGTGAAGATTACAGGAAACTGTGTGTAAAATATGTCAGGCACAGAACAAGCCCTCAAAAGACAGTGCCTTATGTTATATCACCGGGCAGACTTACAATAACCCAAATTGCATTTAGATTTGCTTTGGCTGCAGATGGCAGAAAACCCAAGTTAACAATGACTTAAATAGGCAAGGTTTTTATGCAGGTTAAAAGTCCTGAGGTGGGTGGTGTGGGCCTGGTGTGGCACTTCCACAAATTCATTAGGGTGCAGGCTCCTCAAACCCTCTGCTCTGCCATCTCCAGGGAGCCTTACCCTCATGGTCCAAAATGGCTGCCAGAGCTCTGGCCATCATGTCCAGCTCCAGCCAGCAGGGGAGAGACACATCCCCTCCATTTAGGGACATGTCTCTAAGCCTGACGCTCCCCCTGCACTTACTTCCCAATGGCCAGAGTATCACACACAGCCCCACCTAATAGCTTCAGGGCAGGCTGGGAAATGAGGCCTTATGCCTAACTAAAATTTGGGATTCGTTATTATGGAAAAAGGGAAAACAGGTGACAAGGGACAGCTAACAATCTCTGCCATTTCTTTCCCACGTGACTTGGGCGAGCAGCTTTATCTTTCTAAGAGTCAACTGTAAAATGGGGCTTCTGGTGATCCCTAACACACACAAACATGTTCTTCTGGCTCATTTTTTTCAGTATTTTTCAGACTATAGCTTTGCTGTCCTTCCTCCAGGAGGCTCTCCCTGATATCCCTTAGTCTGGATTAGGCACCTGCTCTGGGCTCCCACAGCCCTGACCCCTCTGCCTGTGCCTCCTCCCTCCCGGCCCTGACCTCAGGGCCTCCGCTGTCTAATGAAGGGTCTGTGTCCGCACTGGACTCTGAGGGCAGGACCTGGGGCCAGCTTGGTCACTACTGGCTTCCCAGCATGCGTCTGGCTCAGCGCAGGATGCCTTAAACCAGACCCATATGGTACATGACCTTCATATTTCCATGTTTGGGCTAGTCCACATCTGGCAGGTGGCCCTGGAGGAAGGTTCCCTCCTACCGTGCAGTCTCTCCCAGTCACTGGGGGAAGGCAGTCAGGCCTCTGGTTATGGGTAAGGTGGCACAGGAGAGCAGTCAGGGAAGACCAGGCCAGGCCTCTGAATCACCGGGAGGGGAGTGGCTGCCAGCAGGGGCCCAGTGCTGCAGGCAAATTTGACCCTTCAGAGGCCTGACGCTCTCAGTGGGGGAGAGGGTTGCTCCGTGTGGCGTTTCCAGGAGGAGGTGACCGCGGGCCACCATGACGACGTTACAGAGCGTCTCTAGCGAGCCAGCACTTTATCAGAGACATCACTTCTATTCTCTAGTGTGAGGGATGTGTTAGGATTCCCGGTTACAGATGAGGAAACTGAGGCTCAGCCACCAGAGTCACCTACCTGGCCAAGGGCACACAGGGCAAGGATTTAAGCCCGGACCTGAACGTTTTCCAGAAAGATGGGCACGGTTTCCTTTATAGAAAAGAAACTGAGATGGCTCTTACACTTTTAAAAATACACTCAAGCTCTCTCCTAATAAAATAGATGCAAGTCACAACTCACTGAGCTACGCGTCCTCACCAGTCAGAACTGCAGAGATGGAGTTCGAGAGCACTGCTTGCGGGGGAGGGGAAAGGGGCCCCTCGCACGTGGCAGGTTCAGTGTAAGGTGGGTGCGAGCCCAGTACCTGCTGCCAGAGTGAAAATGCACGTGCTCTTTATCCCCACAAATCTCGGGGGTCTTGGCATGGGGAGGCCTTTCCTCTAAGTGTGACCCAGTTGACCATCGTCCCGTGGTGCCTCCAGCCTGGCACAGACTTCATGCTCACCCACTCTCTGAACAGCTGTGGTGGGAAAGCAGGGATAGTTTGGGGGACAAAAAGGGAACTGCATATATTATACTGGTTCATTTATTGATTCCACAAACCAGACGCTGCTGGCCCCAAAAGTTTCATGTGCCCCCCTGCCCCGCCACCACCGCCACAAGTCACGGGTAGTGTCGGGCTGAACATTACTTGGGTCCAGGACTTTGGGAGGGAGGGGCAGAGATGGGGCCCAGCAGAGGATGTGAAAAGTGAAGGCACGGTGGTCTCCTGAGGGAGGTAAGGGCAGGCGTGGTTTAAAGGCAACGCACAGCCCACTGCCTGGGTTTGAGCCCCAGCTTCGCTGCTGATTTGCATGGTGGCGACCGGTCTGCCTCTGCTGCCTCAGTCTCCTCATCTGTAAATAAAGTCAGATGATATTCCTACTGCAAAGTGGTTGTTAGCGTTAATGAATTTACGTAGGCTCACGGCACTTGTGTCATCATGGGGCGCCTGGGTGGCTCAAGTCAGTTAAGCGTCTAACTTCCGCTTAGGTCATGATCTCACAGTTCACGAGTTCAAGCCCCGCGTTGGGCTCTGTGCTGACAGCTCAGAGCCTGGAGCCTGCTTCGGAATCTGCATCTCCCTGTCTCTCTCTGCCCTTCCCCCATTCACGCTCTGTCTCTCTCTCTCAGAAATAAAACATTTAAAAAATTGTTTTAAAAAAAATGAGTGACACCATTTATAGCACCTGCATATTCCTGAGGGCATTTGGGTTTTCAACCCCAGACTCAGGGTCCAGGAAGAGAACCTAAGGGCCTTTATGAGCTGTCCTCTCTAAGTCTCCACAGGGGCCCCAGGGGGTCTCACAGCTGCCTGTGGGGGGAGGGGGGACCTCATTCCCTGGGTTTCCTGAGCAATGGGCTCTTTTTTTGATGGGGTGCAAGGGGAGTGTGGGCGCCATGTCCCGGGAGGGATGCAGGGAGAGGTGCCAGGGCCACCTCCTCTCCACCCCCGCCCCCCCCCCCCACACCGGGTCCAGGCATCCTAGGGCCGGGATCACTGGTTCTGTGGGAAGCAGCTGAGAAGCTCCAAGCCTCTCCCTGGAGACCCAGATGCCAGCAGATGTCTGGAAGGCAGAGCTGTCCAGACACTGGTTCCCAGCTGTGGGCTTATGAGAGGGGCTGGGGCAGCCAAAGCCCCCTCCCCGGTGGCCACTCCATTTACCCCCAAGATCAAGCCCTGCATTGAGCTTTGAGCTGACAGCTTGGAGCCTGCTTGGGATTCTCTCTCTCCCTCTCTGCCTCTCTCCCACTCACTCCCACACTCTCTTTCTCTCTCTCTCAGATAAATAAACCTCAAAAAAATAAAAATGCAGGTGCTCAGGTTGGGACCTGGGAATCAGAGCTTTAACAGCCATGTGATTTCTTTTCTCTCCTCGGTACACATGGTATTCTGTCTTCTCTTTCTGCTTTTGAAATTTCACAGAGCTTCTCAAAACTACAGTGCAAATGAATCCCCGTGTACTTCTCACCCAACTTCAACCCCATCCTCTTTTGGCCACTTTTTTTCATACCGTTTGTTTGTTGATGAAACCAGGTCATTTATGCTGAATTTGGGTGGTTACTCTGTCACACTGCCATTTAACTTGTTTCTGTCCCTTGCATTTTGTATAAACTCGTCACTAGTCTACAGGCTTGCTCAGCATCAGGATGAGATTTTGTTGTTAGTGTCAATTTGCTTTGGTTTTTTTGGTTGGAGCCCATCCTAAGTGCGTGATCTAACAAAAGTGATCGGGAGTGTCGCGGAGGTCTGGGTGGGAGGTGTGCTGGGAAAGGTGGTTGGTCGGTGGGGCGGGGGAGCAGAGGGAGGAGGCACTGGAAGCCCTGCTGACTCCTCTCCCCTCTCCCCTGTCTCTGCCCGGCAGTGCAAAGAGCTGTCTCACTCTTCTCCCTCAACGACCCAGCTCTGAGCCCGGAGGTCCCACCTGCACACAGTCCCGTCCACAGCCACCTGAGCCTGGAGAGGGGGCCCCCAACCCCCAGGACCACCCCTACCATGAGGTGAGGTTTCCCTGGGAACACCTGGTGGCCCAGCAACTCGAATCCCTGAGGGTGGCTGGCCTGCCCCGTGAAGGAGGGGGACACCAGGCGGATGAGAGACAGCAGCTGCTTGCCCATCCCCCACGTCCCCTCGGCACAGCCAGGGGGGCGTCTCCCCTGAGGGACTTGGGAGTGACCCACACACCGGAACCCAGAGGTGACCTTGTCCGGGTTAGCCTGGTCCTCATGGGTGGAGACAACGCAGCGTCATCCATATGGTCAGTCGACCTCCAACTTTGAAAAACCTCTAAGTGGTGCCCCCCACCGCGTCCTCACCCGCCCCAGTCCCTTCCTCCCTGCCTTTGATCCCCCCATCTGCCCCTGGGTCTCCTCCGCACATTCCAGAATTCTTCGGATGGCCACCTGATAGTTACTGTTCGCCTCTCCCCTGGCACAGCCCGCTGGGCCAGCTGTGGAAGCGCTGACAGAGGCCCTACCCGCGTGAGGCTTCCCAGGGAGAGAAGAGGACATGGGTCATCGCACGTTTAGTGCAACAGACTTGACCGCACTAGGTTGGCAAAAAATACAAGGCAGGCTCACACCAGAGGTGCGCTGTACTTTATGGGCAAATTAAGTAATTTTCGAGGGAAATTTTGACTCTCCTGGGTTTTGGTGTTTTGTTTTTGTTTTTGACTCTTCTTCACACCCCTCTTTTCACTGGCTTTAGAACTCAACCTCCACCAGAGATGTGGCCCGACTGTAATCACGGGAACTCGGCACTTACAAATGTGCCAATACAGTGAGGGCAGGAACAGGCTTGGTGTGGAAAGGGCAGGACTGTGGGCTCTGGACGAGCTCCTGGATTCCCTCCGCCCCTGAGCTGACCCTCTCCCACCTGCCCTGCAGCTGCAGGCCCCCAGGAGCCAAGACTGTGGCGGAAAGAAAGGGCAGGAGGGCTCAGTGTCTCCCCTCTCGGCTGCGGCAGCACACCCTCCCCCGCCCCCCACAGTGCCTAGTGGAGCCCCCACAGGGAGGGGCTGCTCCTCTCCTCCTCAGGGGCTAGGCAGGCCAGGGCTGGGTTCCAGGGTGCAGGGTCCCCGCCTAAGCCACAGTCTCCCCCTCTGCCCAGTGGGTAATGACGAGGTGACCTCCCAGACTACACTGGGCGTGGAGCTCTGTTAGATCGAGACTGTGCACAGCGCAGGGCAGGCTCTCTGTCACGGGGGCGCCGTCATCGTCTTTGTCAGTGTCCTCCATTCCCGTCCCCGAGGGCAGGCCCCCATGTTCAGTGTCCCGTGGCAGACACCGTGCCCAGGTCTGCGAGGTGCTCAGCGGACGTGTCTGTGAGGCGGGTTCTGGTTTTGCTCTGTGTGAGGCGCTCACACCTAAAGCACACGCGTGGTTCAGGCCCCGCGGGGGAGGCACACGTCAGGGCGGGCGCATGCACAGCCTTCCACAGGCTGCCACAGCCCCCCGTCCACATCCACAGATGTACCGTCTTTGGGGAGAGCGCAGCAGGGAGGGGGGCTGGCTCCTTTCTGGCTTCCCCCAGAGCCTCCCTCCAGGCATCCCTCAGGACCCCAGCAAGGAAAGGACTCTCCAGAACTTCGGAGACAGGAGTGTCCTGTACCCCCTGTTCCTCCGGAACCCTCCCTGGGGGCCGGTGGGCCTTGGGTCTCACCCTGTCCCTGTCTTTCCAGCGAGGAGCCTCCCCTGGATCTGACAGGCAAGGTGTACCAGCTGGAGGTGATGCTGAAGCAGCTGCACACCGACCTCCAGAAGGTAAGGACGCCAGGCGGCCAGCCCTCGTGGCGCCCCCCCCCCCTTTCCGCCCCCCAGACACTTGGGTGTGGGGCGTGGGCAGCGAGGCTGCGGCACCTGTCCCCACCCGACCCCTTCCACGCTGGGAGAGACCACCCAGCTTTGAGTGTCGTCCTAGGTAAGGAGTAGAAGGTGACCGTGCCAAAGGCTGGGAAACGCATGGAGGAAACCTGCCTACGGTCTCGGAGGAAGAACACATTGGCCCCAGCCTTTTTGGGGGGCAGCGGGATGATATTTATCAAACAGTGTAACTGTCTACCTTGTTGATCTAGCAGTTCCACTTGTGGGAGTTTGTCCAGCAGAATTTCAAGCACAGGTACACAGATCCATGAGCAAGGGTGCTCATTGCTGCTCTGTTTGCAACAAAAAAAATTGGAGCCGGTGCAGCTGTCCCTCCACGGGAGAATGGTTATATAAAGGACAGGACACCCATGCAGTGGAATATTCTGCAGCCAATTAAAATAATAGCAGGAATCTGTGTATTTACTCACATACAAAAGAAGTCCAGTAACTTAAGTAAAAACTGAGCAAGCTACAGAACTATTTCCTAAAACATTGTCATACTTAAAAAAAAAAAAAAAAATTAACATCCACAGGGCAGAGGGTTGTCTAGAAGGCAACGTTCCAAACTGTTCATCATACGTACCTCCAGGGTGTAGAAGAACGAGGAGAGAAATAAGGGCAGAGAACTTCCACTTGTTGCTTTATATACTTCTGGGCAAAAAAACAAAAAGGTGGCAGAGTATAATGTGGAAGCCTCAAGCACAGGAATCATAGGGGCCCAGGTTCAAATCCGACCCCACCATCTAATACTGCCTGAGCTTGGACAAGTCAGCGGCCTTCAGATGTGACATGTCCTGGAAGGGCGTCTCTGAAAGGCCAAGGGAGCCTGTACGGCGGGCAGCCTGCGCCCGCATCCCAAGCTCCCCACTTTCCGTTAGGAGAGGCTGGGTTTCCTCTCAGGAAACTGAGGCTAACAGTCCCCGAGTCCTTAGATGGCCATGAGGGTAAAACGGGGTGGTGGGTAACTACAGTGAGGTCTGTTGGAAGAGTTGAGGAAGTGGGTCCAGAGAGATGAGTCAGTCTGCCCACGGTTATGAAGCCGCTGAGAAGCAGAGCTGGGGCTTGAACGCCTGGCTCAGGAGGCCTCGTCTGTGCCCACCCGCTGATGCTGGCCCCACTCCACAGGAGAAGCAGGACAAGGCCGTGCTGCAGTCGGAGGTGGCCAGCTTACGCCAGAACAACCAGCGCCTGCAGGAGGAGTCACAGGCCGCCAGCGAGCAGCTGCGCAAGTTCGCGGAGATCTTCTGCAGGGAGAAGAAGGAGCTCTGAGGCGGCGAGCCGCCCCCACCCCTGCCCGGGCCAGCCACGGGCTCCCGCTCTCCTGTCTCCCTTGGCTCGCTCCCAGCTGCGGGTATGACCACGATAACCCAGCCAGGGCCCCACCGCCCTCCTCGTGGACACGGAAACCCTGGATGGCCGCAGGCCCCGCCCCGGGCTGTGAGCTGTGGTCTGCTCAAGGTCCTCCTGCCCCACAAGATGACATGGTCTCAGGCCTCCCTCTGAACTGCCCATCTCTGGTCCCTGGGGACTGGACCATGCCCACGCCGCGCCCAGGAGGCCCATCTAGCCTCTTCCTAGGACCAAGCCATCAGAAGCTGTAGGAAGGGGAGAGGGAGGGCAGGTGTGTGTCTCCAAACCCCGCAGCTCCAGGAGTCCACAAACCAGGTTTCTTCACCACGTGCAACAGAGTTTGGGCTTGTGGGGCCAAGCCCCCTGCATGAAAAACCAGTGTGAAACTGGCCCGTGCTTCCCCTCGGCCCCAGAGAGATGAAGGCCTGTGTGGAAACTGGCCAGGGGTCTCAGTCCCAGTGCACTAGCTCCAAATGGCACGGACAGTATCCCCTCCCAACCTCGCTCTTCCAAAAAGCAGCCAGGAGCACTTTGTTAAGAGTTTCACTTCTTTTCTTGGGACCCCGGATGGAGAGAGGACACCCCCAGCATCCACAGTCAACTTCTTTGAGGGGAAACTCTATTTGCACACTCGGGACTGTTTATACCGTCTTTTTTCTATCCGCCCCTCGACCGCCAAAGGCCACAGCGCCCGGGCCATGCCACCTTCCAGCTACTGCCCTGGCCCCAGGCAGCGAAACCCTGTCTCTCCTCCCCAGGCCCCGCCA